GATCCGAAGGTCCCGGGTTCGAATCCCGAACATGACCAGGTATAATAATTGGGTTTTACTGTCTAAAAACTCTCAGTAACAGCCCATTGTAAGTGAAGTTGGCGGGTTTCCACGGGACATCGAATTCTCGTCCCGCTGTTGACAGTGACAGGAATTAAAAGTGCACGGTATGTTTGCGCGCACACTTGTGCACTTTAATAAATAAAATAAAAATAAAAAATATCTTCTGCACCGATGGCTATTTTCCGTGAGGTTGGTTCCGTGAATTGGCCGAAATCGGTTTAGAGAACATTATGATTATTATTTACACATATAAAAATATTTATTTTCAGTCAACAATTAAAAGTTTATATGGAATGGGTATTATATATATACATACATATATATATATGGGTAAAAAGGCAAAGTTTTTATGGAAAAGAAGCCCGCCAAAGCGGGGCAAGCTATTACATTAACCGATCAATATTAACTGAGAAAAAGTTGTAATATTTTATCAGAATAAATGTGCTATTTAAATTTTTACAGGTATATTAATAGTTCAATCCCGGAATCCCGTTCGGGAACAAAATATAGAAAATCTGAAGACAACGAGTTTTCTGCAAATTTCTCGAAAACTTTGGGGTTATTGTAAAAATGTTATTTATAAAAGTTGTAGATTTTTACTAGACCTACAACTTTTGTGAAAAACATTTGTCGATAGAACGCAACAGTAATCGAAAATTGATACAAACTATTTTTTAACGAATATACGAAATTCTATTCCTTATAGGTATACCTGCTAACATTATAAAATCATTAAACTTCAGGTTCTTAATATATATATATATATATATATTTTTCTTAAAAATAAACGGATTCCGATATGTCCGTAATGTGGGTCCCGCAATTTTCAAATTTCTAAGAAATAAAAATGTGCTGAAATGAGCCCAGTGTATGATATTACGTGCCGCTTGGGAAAAAATTATTCAAAAAATGTAATTTCTATGAGGAGGTCCTTTTTTCAAGTCCCGTTAGCTTAGTTTTTTTTTTCAAATGTATATGGGACCAACCTGGAAGTATACACTTTCAAACAATACAAAAATTGTCCAAATCGGTTATTAAATGACGGGAGATTTGAATTAACAAATATAAAAAACATAAAGCCGAATTGAGAACCTTCTCCTTTTTGAAGTCGGTTGAAAAGGGTCAAATTTTATGTATACCTACAAAAAAAATGTGTTCATCCTCCTTTTTAAAGTCGGTTAAAAAGAGATAATTGAAAGCTTTTCATTAAGGTTGAGACGGAAATGAAAACGCTTTTCATTTACTACACTCTGTTGATTTTCAATCTCAGTTGAAACATACAAACGCTATCATATGCATTGAGTTAATGGATTTTTAGAAATCAATAGATATGCACTCAGAATATTTGATAATATGTGAACTCGGTGGTCTAGTGGCTAGCAAGTACAGCCGCAAATACGGAGGTGCTGGGTTCGAGTCCCGGGTTGAGCCAAGTTCAGTTATTATTATTTTAAATTATTATTAAATATTTCTGTCAAGAAATTCTCAGTAACAACCCGGATCTTGAATCGTCGTCGCATCCTGAGTATGAGAGTGACAAGAATAGAGAGTACACTTAAGTTTGCGTGGATTGGCCGCCGTGACCGAAATCAATCGGGAGAACATTATTATTACTAGTAAGGTTAATTCGCTAGTGTTTTTATAATATACTGCTAAACTCAAATTTCACTCTTATTTATATATATACAGTACTAGCAACTTCAGCATGCAGCAGGGATCGTCCCTAGGAACGTTTTAAATGTTAGTATGGATTTCTCAGAGATATTTTCCCGCAGTCAAAAGTATCCTATATGTTGACCCGCATGTCCTGCTATCATCATACCGAATTTTATAAAAATCTGTTCAGTGGTTTTCTCGTGATGCGGTTACAGACAGACAGACAAAAATTCTTGAAACTATAAATTCGGCCTCTGTATCGATAATTATGACTATTACAATAAGATTTTCTAAAAAATATTTAATTTAAAGGTTCGACTCAGGATTTTATCATATACCTACATGTATAGATTAATTTCTCTACACACGTTAACATTATTCATTTTTAGCCCCTAGCGAATTGACGAAATGAAATATCACGTAACACTAAAAGCTCTGCAAAGGTTTATTATAGCAATAAGGTCAAAGAGAGGACAATCTTTAACTTAGCAATTGAAAAGTTTCATCGAAAGTTTATTTAAGTGACTATTATTTATAGTTAGTGATCCCGGCCTGCCCTCGCCCTCGTTTACGTGTATTGTTCAGTGATAGATATACCGAGTACATACATATGTACGTAGGTACAAATAAATTATATGTATTAAGCTCTTTTTAACATCCCACTATGTTGGAGGTGGGACTTCCATCAATACGAGGTGAATCAGGCTATAGTGAACGCTGGCCAAATGCGGGTTAGCGGACTTCACACATGTTTTCGCTATAGCGTAAACTAGCAAAAACACATACACCACACTAAGTACATTTATATCATTAGTTATGATGTAAACTGTATTCGTGCCAATGCCATATAATTAATTATATACTACTCCTGATATTCGCAAAAGCTATGTATATAATACAATAATATAACACAAGTACAATAGAATATATACTTTACACATACATGTATAATCATAGTATGACGCATGTTATCATTACGTAAAATCGAACATAAAGAAAAAATATTAAAATAAAAATATCGTAAAATTTACTATAAATTAAATCCAATACTAGCAATATCTCTTCCAATTGCGCTTATTCTCTTTATCTTACCCTCTACTTGTTACTTTTCTTGCCTGTGAATTTTCGATGTACCCAATAAAGTTTTAAGTTAAGCTTTAGCTAATGTGATTTCTCATGTAAGTGAATTGTAATTTTCTTTTGTGAAATAAATGATCTTAAACCTGATAATAAATCTTTAGGGAATTTAGTCTTTGGAAACTTTTGGCAAACGATCAGGGCCACCAATTATCAAATTTTAGTCTGAGAAAACGCGTGTTTTTGAGTTTTCATGCAGTTTTCTTTTGCATTATTTCACGCAAAATATGGTCGGTAATTTGCACGCTCGGGTATAAGCATCGTGTTCAAGCGGCCAAGGTGCAAGCTCAACAATCACATGTGTCCAGCTTCGAATCTCGGTCGCATACAAAGTTATACTTTTATTTTTTTTAAATATTTATTTAAGTTTTAGTTTTTTTTTAAAAAGACGCAAGATTGACAATCATAGGTGTCCGGGTTCGAATCCCGGTCGGATACAAAGGTATAATTTATTTTTGTTTTTTCTTGTATTTATTCAAGTTTTTAGTTTTTTTTTTCAACCAAAAACTCCGAGCGAAGCTCGGTGGCTCAGGTACTAATATTAAAGTATGGATACGGTCATTCACTCACTGATTAAATACAATCTCAAAAACTATTTGGGCTACGTAGCTATTAAGAACGATTTTGCGATAGTCTATACTAATATTATAAAGAGGTAAAGTTTGTGACTTGTGCGTTTGTGAGGTTGAATCGATTTAAGTGAAATTTGGTAATGATACAATTTGTAACATAGCATCAGTGAGAGAGAAGGATCGAGCATTACAATGCGCAACATGATACAATTTGTAACATCGTGATACAATGTGTAACGCATCTATACTTGTTTGATCGTTTGTTCGTTTCTTTTGCTTTTCTTACGTAAATAACATGAGCGAATAAATATTACCGCGCTCAATATGACCGCTTCGTCCAACATTGTTAAAACAACTGACTTGACTGCAGGCGAATAATCAAAATCGAATCTAAATCGTTACATTACAGGCAAATGCTCCCGGTGAGGGACCGCCTTAATGAAAATCTGGCAAAACTAATAAGAGTAATGTAATTACTTCTTAGCATATCAATGTATTATGGGTATAATACTTGATTTGTATCGACTGACACCCGACTTTTTAGTGTTTTCTTTTAAAGTCAGTTTTTATTTTCTACTTGAAGTTTTTTATTTTTGCATTTTTAGTGAAGACATAGTAGTAGCCAAGTAAGAAAGTATTTTAAATTTTTTGAATATGACAATCAGAAGTATGTAAAATTTTCATTAGCTAGTGTTCCACCTTAGGGGTGGTATTTTTTCAAATTTAAATGGGACCAAGCTGGAAGTATACATTTTCAAACAAAACAAAAATTGACCAAACCGATTAATACATAACAGAGTTCTGAAGTAACAAAAATAAAACCTCAGTGAGTTCAAAATGGCAATTTGTTTTAAAAAAAAAACTTCCAAACCTACCAGTTTGGTATCAAATTAAGAAACTAAAATATACACAACTTATATGTTTAAAAGTAATTTGGGATAAGAAATAGCTAAATAAATTGCACCTTCTTTCCACATCTTGTTCCCATCTATTTAGTTCACTTTTTTATATTCTATTATATGAGTAATATAGAAACAGTTTTCCCATTACATTTTTGATTAAACACCTACTAATTGACTTATTGTTTTAGTACACTATATATACATTTTACAACAAAGTAACAAGATGTCACTGGCCGAGCAATAACAAAATATTAGAAATATTAAAAATCAGGCCCTAAATCCAAAAACATATTGGTCAAATGAAACAAAATAAGCCCAAACTCAAAGTATCCACTATTAGTTGTTGAAGAGTTCCACCTATCTCCCTTCTGGCCTTACTATCAGATCAGGTTGTCGATACCCAATCACTGCATATTATCAATGGCAATTAAACACACTTGCAAAGTTTCAAGTCAATATGACAATTTGAAGTAGGATACATTTTTCTAGCTATTAGTCCACCTGTAGGGGTGAAATTATACACTATCAAACAAAACAAAAATTGTTCATATCTGTTAATAAATGACGGAGATCTAAGGTAACAAACATATATAAAAATAAAAATGAAAAAAATACAGCTGAATTGAGAACCTCCTCCTTTTTGAAATCGGTTGAAAATACAGACACTCACCGGTATAAGATGTAGAGCTATAAGAATCAGCAGATGAAGCTGAAAGTGATCTACTTCTATATCTTGCGGACTTCTTCAGAGCGCCAGATTTTCCTCGCTGACCCTCGAATTTTCCAGCAGTACCATCAGCAGGGTTTCCACCACGAACATGGCCAGGATCTGTTACTGGACTGTCGCTGGGCACATTAGCAGTGGCAACGCTCTCCTTCCTATGTGGATTTGGCTCCCCATGACCGTCAGACATCTTGCAATCTTTTATTTAAAATATATTCCAAGCTGTGTGTACAATATTATCAATTAAAATATTCACTATATCGATGGATAATAACTCAAATACGAAAAGGATCACTTTACGCGCGATTTTTGTAATTATATTCGTGAATTTATCTATTAATTTTCATTAGTAAAATGAAAATAAGAAATATCAATAATAAAAACAATTCAAAGAGGCGCAGTGGCGATAATTTGAGATGCGATAAACTGTATACTTGATTTTGCCAATAATTATTGATTAATACAAAGTATTAAAATATTATAAGGAATTTTTACTTGCAGGTAAGATCGAGATAAAATGCTTTTCAATTCACATTATATTTGAAAAATCTGCGATATTCAGATTTCACTATACGAACCGTAACACGCTCCCCTCCACACTTTTCGCCGTACAAAAAAACGGTGTCATTACGAATTTCCTTTACTATCTACTATAGAAAAGCTTAAAACCGGTATTAGTGAATAAAAATATACGATATTTTATATTTTTGAGTTTATTTATTTCATTTACATATTAAATACTTGTGACGTTAAAAAGAATATTCGAAATTTTCATATTTTATTTTCTTCATCACGTTCTAATAAAATATTCACCAAGACATTATTATTAAAATAATTTTAAAATCATTACTTTGATACTCACTTACTCATTACTACTACTTGTAGAAAGTAAAAATCAAAAATCTATAGTTGATCAATGAAAATTTAAAATTAATTTCGATAAGAAAATATTTCTTATTACTTTTATTACATTATACTTTGCTACATTTAATTGATTTTACAGCGTGATTTATTATTTAAATTGTTATTCTATTTATATATAACTTTAAAATTATTTTATTTTAAAGTAGTAGTAATAAATGGCTTACAAGTAAATCTTTAAAAAACCGGTTATTTCTAAAATATCATAATAAATTTATTTATCTATGGCAACAGCTTAAATCACTAGCGTCGCCAATATGGAAATGAAATACATGACAACCGCTACGTGAAACAACTAGGAAATAAATAACTAACAAAAACTGTTTTCAATTATAACCTACTGGTGAGTAAAGTCTTTTTATATTACATTTGTTTTAGAGCTAATTTACATTATTTCATAAGTGGTCTTGAGGTAATGATGGCGCGTGGTAATCAATAAGGAAAACCTTATTTTCAAAAATCGTCATCGAACCACCGGTACAGTGCGAATAAATTTTAAACGCTCATAACATGTCAGCGTTTATCGAGGACACTATAAATTAAACATGAAGCGAATTTCTATAAATTTTCATTTATGCCTGTGTCATTTTCAAATGCGTCGTTCGTCGTAAATAACTTTGTTTTTTCATTAATAAAAACGTTGACATATCTTGTCAGTTTTATGGTTTATCATTGAGGACTAATAATTATATAGGAAGTGAGTAAATATCCCGTTATTAAGTCGTCACGATGTGTAAATAAGATGATAGTGACTTGCAAAGCCCATGGTGTAAACAGACTTGTAAACGTGGGCGGTATTTTCATGTGATTATTATATATATAGATATTGTAATAACAATGTCCAATAATGTCATCTGTTCTTATCGTGAATACATATTCTTGTATGATGACATTGATACAAAGATATAATGTAAATAAGATACTTTTCATTAACTCCTTGCAGCTCTATAGGTATAATAAGATTTTTTTAGTTCTTATTTATTTTCTTTAATATACTTGCTATATATAACAAGGAATTCTTACAAATATTGTAAAAAAGAAGTCTTCGTCAGATTATATTTCTTTTATGGAGTGGACAGGTCCATTTAACTTTTATATTTAATAAATGAGCAATGTGACACAAGCTTATTTCTATCCTGGTACATCATGTGGACCTCATAGTGTTAGGGTTTGACTTTATAACTATGTGTATCTTTTTTTACCAAAATAGCAAAATTGTGTAGAAGAAATGAGAAATGATATTTTCACTATTTGCAGAAACAAAAAATAAAATGATACATACAAATTGGCTTCAATGTTTACTGAATTAATTATTCAGACTTGTCACAATTAAAAATAAAACAATGTTAAATTTAAGAATTTAGATCAAATACCTATAGCAATATTAATATACCTATTTTTAACAATCTTTTTAATTTTAAGAACATGTGTCCTTCCCCTTACCTTCTCCTCCGAATTCTAATTATGTAAAATTTACACTTTTCATCAGATTTATTTTGTCAATAAAATCTCTGGACCTTTTTTATTACATTGTTTTTTTTTTATAACAACATAATTGACAGAACTTGTGCTGACAAAAACAAGTATGTAGCAGGTCCGATTAGAAAAATAGTGTTATAACGTTTTTCCATGATTTTTTCCCAATTTTTCCTCATCTAAAAATGCTCCTTGGACTCCAAGGAATATTTGAAAAAAGAATTAGCCGAATTAATCCAGCCTTTCTCGAGATTTGCACTTAGCAACACATCTACTTCGATGGTAGACGCAAAAGAGGATGGGAAGATGAGATCCACCTAACTCCTAGGGCCACTGTGGGCATGAGTGGGGTTAGATAGATTCCAATGGAGACAGTTGAAGGAGTCCTTTGCCAAGAAGCACATAGAAATATTTTGTAAATTTTAATACAATTTTATCTGTAAACTCTGTAACTCTGTCTCCTGTAATAAAGGTCATATTTTATTTATTTATGTAAAAAATCAAAAAAATATGTTGAATAAATAAAATTTAAATATAAATTACAAAGTAAATACAAACAGATATTGAATCTGCAAAGAACTTAATAAGATTTCTTTGTCTTTGTAATAAGATAAAGGAATTATCTATTCACTCTTTGTTCTAATGTGATATATTGTGGTGTATATGGAGGATACATTGTATCAAGCAGTTTTGCTTAAGCCCCTTATAAAATTATTATGATGATACAATTCGATTCACTATATATATATATATATATATATTCTTCAAAATTGGAATATATCAATTAAGAATACAAAAGAATATACCGACTCTTCAAAAAGAGGCATGTTCTCAATTCGGCTGTTTTTTTTAATTGCTTGTTACCTCAAAACTGATTGTTTACGATTTACCGATTTGGACAATTGTCGTTTTGTTGAAATGTGTATAGGTACTTTCAAGTTGGTTCCATTTTAATTTGAATAAAAAAATATGGCTGGTATTTTTTTTGGAAAAGGCTAAGAGTGAAAAAATAGCTAATGATATGGTTGTATATAACCATGAACGAATTAGTCGTTCATGGATATAACCTATTTCTAATTGTCATATAGCTTTGAAACTTTGCTTGTGTTTCTATATCCGTTGATAGTGCAGTGGTTCTGTATAGTCGAACTGGTAAGGCCAGAAGGTGCATAAGTGGAACTCTTCAACGGCTAATAGTAGATACTTTGAGTTTGGGCTTATTTTGTTTGATTTGACAAGCCCAATACATTAGAATCGAATTTTAGAGCAAGATTTTTTAGTGATACTAATAAAAGCGAATTTTAGTTTGTCAGTGTTTATATAAAAATTGGTATCAAACTAACTTTAACGGCTTAAGCGAATATTTTTTTAAAATACTTTATTCTTACTTTGCGATTACTATGTCTGCACTAAAAAGGGAAAAATAAAAACTAAAAAATAAATAAAACTTCAAAAAACACTAAAAAGTTAACATACCTCATTGGTAGTATTCATATTCTATAGATACCTACTGAAATATTTTCTAAGTTGGTGCGTATATACTTTGAGTTTGGGCTCATTTTCTTTGATTTGACAAGCCCAATGTGTTAAGCCGCGTTGACACGATCAAAGTTTACTTTGACAAAGTAGTTTTGATGACTATTTTGACGGAACTTGGATTATGTAAACGAGCAATCAATGCTCATTTTGACGTCGGCGTTCAATCAAAGTGGACTTAATCAAAGAGAACTTCGTTTCAAAGCTTTTTGTCAAAGCAGACACTGAGCGTGTCAATAAGTATCCAAGTAAACTTTGATCGAAGCTAATTTGTCAAAGCAGACATTGAGCGTGTTAACGAGGCTTTACTATTGGATTTTAGAGCCAGAATTTTATGTGTTACTAATAAAAGCGAATTTTAGTTTGTGAGTCATCGTATAAAAATTGGCAACAAACTAACTTAAACGGCTTAAGCGAATATTTTATTAAAATACTTTCTTCTTACTTTGCTACTACTATGTATACAATAAAAAGGGAATAATGAAAACGTTAAGAAATAAACCGACCTTAAAAAACTAGATACCTAATCAAATATTTTCGAAGTTGATATCCACATACTTTAAGTTGGGGCATAACGGCTTAAGCGAATATTTTACTTATTATTTATTATTATACTTTGCTACTACTATGTTTACACAGGGAAAAATAAAAACTTCAAAAATAAGTAAAAACTAACTTCAAAAAACCCCACTAAAACTAAAAAATAACTGAGTGGTAGTTTACATTTACTGTAGATACCTAATTAAATATTTTCGAAGTCGGTGCTTTATTTTTTACTTGTTTTTTGAAGTCGGTTTGTATTATTATAGATTATTGGGGCATATCAAAATTCGTTAGCTTAAAAGATTTATTCACTACTAGTGACTTACTCTCGCTTCGCGCTGGCGCGTCCCTAAGTGCGTTTTAAATAGATGTGAATAGTTATTGCTAGTGTGGATGTTGCAGATTTTTCTGTAGGCCTTATGAAGACCTACAATTTTGTAGTACATTTTTGATGTATCTTTTAAGGTTTAACCAGCGTTAAACATGTTTTCTAAGAACGACTCGATAGAACCAGTTATTGTGTTTTCCCCGTAGGAATGATAGATTTTCCTATAATATAAAATATACTAAATACTGGAGTTATATATATTAACAAATAGACATACAGACAAACAGAATATATTTAATAATTATTGTTTTGAGACCTATATTCTGCATACAATACCTTACAGTCATTGTTTTCAAAAATATTTCATGTACAGCTTTCACTAAGTTACAATAATTAAAGAGAGCTTTATTATATGTATAGATTATTTCAGGTTGTGTCGGTTTGAAATAAAATGTTATGGAGGAATTTGAGGCAAGGTGGTCGTTTAACATCCGATATATATCGTTACAGAACACAATGTCCTCGGGGCGTGGTCGCGGTTACACTGGGCGTCACCACTTGCCGCCGCGCGAGGCCCGTCCAGGAGACGACGTGGACGAGATGAACGCGGCCAGGACTCTTGCCGAACTAAGCCCTAGGGCTACTGGTGAGTGACAAGCATACACAAACAACTTCATATATGTAGGTATAATGCATATGTTTCAGTCACGGTAATTGGCCAAAGTAGCCAATCACACTTACGCAGGAGATATTAAGGGCAAGAGTGTATGCATGAACAAAATGTTACTCTCGCCTTTTTTCGCTCTAATCGTCCAATCTTACACGACGTGGGTAGCGATAAGAGAGTAACACTTCTTAACAAAAAAGAAGATTATGAGAAATTATTAATACAAATTATCAATTTTGACCCATTTCGGATTCGAACCCTGATTTCCTACAGATGTAGGAATACACACTGGCCACTAAATCAACGAGATACCAGACAGCAGTGACCTCTTCTATGCACTAAGACGCACAATTATAACATACACATGTTATTTACATTAGTTAACACACATCGTCTCTGTTTTCAGCACACCTTTTATGCAAATGTCTATGTAACTACACCTTAGCAAAATCGGCCATGCTTTAATCGACAAAAGTAACTAACTAACACATCATATCTGATAAAACTGCTTGTTTGGTCTAGTGACTGTACATCTGTGATCTGCAGATCCGGATGTTTTGGGTAAATGGGTTTTTGTGTCTATAAATTCAGCGCCCACCCTCGGTGCCATGACGAGTACACAGAACGGTCAGTCTTGAGCCTGGTCTCTCACCTTAAAGGTCGTCCCACCGAACTTACGGAACTTGGACGAAAAGTGAAACATATATAAAGTGCACTTGTGCGTTATAATATTTTCAACTTATATGCGTTATCTCCTAGTTAGACTCAGTGACATTGGTCGCAGTAACCGAAATCAGTCAGGACAGGTGTTAGACAGAGAGAGACATATATTCTAGACTAGCATTGCCCGCGGCTCCGCTCGCGTTCAGATAACCAAAAACCAAATTATTAGGATTTACATATTAGTATACTCTTACATTGCAGTTTTTGTATCTTTTCTCAAAAATGAGATATTTTCCCGCGGTAACATGGATAACCAGATCACCATACCAAATTTTATCAAAATCCCTCCAAATGCCTAAAAACTATAGATTCGGCCTCTGTATCGATAATAATATCTATTTCATTATAATTTTCCTAAAAATATTTAATGTACAGATTCGGCTTAGTTACAATTTTATTATATGTATAGATGTTATAATATTGATTGATGTTATAATATGAGCAATTCTTGTAAATTCATATATAGATGCATTTCGTGTATCTCGGAAACGGTTCTGATTTGGATCAAATGTTATATTTAGATAAGGCTTTGCATTATAATTTTATTAATATATGTATGTGTATTTTCCGAAAAAAACGCAATTATTTACAAAATTAATTAATTATTAGAGCCTTTTTCTATCTGCTCTTATGCTGACAATGTCACACGTGTTATCGTCAATGGATGATAACCCACTGGATGAGCGCCTACGTCTTTAAGCAAAGAATCTTACATGTTTATTAATAAACTATGCGTTCTCTTATCGAGTACAGAGTTGCTCCTTGTTCTATTTTTTCACCATTTGGCTCAATATATAGTTTTTAAAAATGGGGTCATGTTATAACTAGCCCATTTTAATGTTAAGGACTTGAAGACCGTGGTAGTAGAAAAAATTAATATCCCATCAAAAACATAAAGTATAACATAAAAAAGATAAGTTGATTAGCCAAATATGATAGATAGATAACTCGTATGTGAAAATTATATAGAATAACATATTAAATTGGCTACAAGAGGGTTCTGGGAAAAGCTCGTTTCAGCCGAACTAACCGCATCGGGCGTAAGCTAGCCACTCACCCTAGTGGTAGTAAAGCTTTCTGGTCCCTCGCAAAGTCGATTGAAGCGAACTTCTGCCGTTCTTCGCTGCCGCCTCTGCAGAAATCTGATGGATCACTGGCTGTCTCTGCAACCGACAAGGCTAATCTTCTAGCGTCTCTATTTGCAGAAAACTCACGTCTCAATGCTGGAAACAAAATGCCACCTACTGTTCCAACATGCGACTCCTCTATGCCTGAGATACGCATACACCAGCAAGAGGTCCTAAAAACTCTTCTGAACCTCGACGTGAACAAAGCCAGTGGCCCTGATGGTATACCTGCAATTGTCTTGCGGAATTGCGCCCCTGAGTTGTCTCCCGTATTAACGCGTTTGTTTCGCCTCTCTCTTGCAACTGCTCAAGTCCCCAAGTCGTGGAAAGTTGCAAACGTGCAGCCAGTACCGAAAAAGGGGTGTCGTGCTGACCCGGCCAATTATAGACCAATTGCGATCACGTCCATCCTTTGTAAAAGTATGGAACGTGTGGTCAATAACAAGCTCCTAGCATACCTAGAAGAAAATGATCTCCTGTCCGACCACCAGTACGGCTTTCGGAAAAACCGGTCTACTGGGGATCTTCTAGTGTATGCCACACATACTTGGGGTGAAGCCATTGAAAAACACGGTGAGGCACTCGCCGTGTCTCTTGATATTTCGAAGGCTTTTGACCGGGTCTGGCATGGCAGTCTTCTCAGCAAACTTCTGGCATATGGGATACCCACTGGCTTTTGTAGCTGGATATCTGATTTTCTGAGTGAGAGGTCATTTAGGGTGGTCGTTGACGGCTGCTCATCTGACCTAATGGCTGTCAATGCCGGTGTTCCTCAAGGATCTGTTCTGTCCGCAACACTCTTTCTGCTGCACATCAACGATCTTCTAAAACCCGGTATCTTTGGGTACGCTGATGACAGCACTGTTACGGATAGATACTTGTCCAGCTCTAGAGCCAGTGCTTCTGAGATACTTGAGCAAAGAAAGGCCTTGGTGAATCGCGTTGACTTAACTCTGAAGGAGGTGTCCGATTGGGGTGACGCCAATTTAGTTAAGTTTAACGCCACCAAAACACAAGCGTGTTTATTCACCGCAAAAAGGAGCCCCTTTACTTTGGCTCCCACTTTCCAAAATGTATCCATCCCGATAAGCGACCATATTGAGCTCTTGGGCATAGACATCTCGCCCAATTTCGGGAAATGCATCGAGTCAAAGGCCAAAACAGCAGCAAAAAAACTTGGTATCCTGAACAAGGTGAAGCGGTACTTCTCGCCTGAGCAGCGCCTGACTCTCTATCAGGCTCAAGTGCGCTCAGCTATGGAGTACTGCTGCCACCTCTGGGATGGCTCTGCCAAGTATCAACTCGATGCATTGGACTCGATAGATCGCCGAGCTCGCCGTATTATAGGTGATCAAACACTAACGCAGATGAAAATGCTTAGTCTCCAGCATCGACGCATTGTCGCCTGTCTATCGATCTTCTATCGGATATACTTTGGGGAGTGCGCGCAGGAACTTCACAACCTTGTGCCCCCTTCACCGTTTTACCACAGAACTGCGAGAAGTCGTGAGCACTGGCATCCTTATGTGGTAGAAATCCAACCAACTCGCACGAAACGCTTCAGTTCTACGTTTCTGAATCGAACTGCTAAGGAGTGGAACACCCTTCCAGCATCCGTGTTTCCTGCCACCTACAATCCAAGTACCTTCAAGGCTAGAGTGAACAGGCATTTTTCTAGGCAAGCGCGCTTCAACCTAGACCTCATCAGTGCTTCCCAGCGCTGATTGTAGTCAAGCGCAAGCCTATCTGTCAATAAAAAAAAAAAAAAAAAAAGTCAGGGCGGTATAAAGTTCGCACGCGGTTGTATTTAATGTATATGTAACTATAGAACTTTCTTGTGCCTTAATTTGACGAGGATTTAGATTGATAAGATGTAATTAAATAATAAAAAGTTTTATCTATTACAACTTCGAAAGGCGCTAACTAGGTGTTCATAAAAATTGATTGCTTGGATAATATTTCAAATCGTAAAAATTCATTGCTTTCCGATTTTTTTCCTTTGTATACATAATAGCGACTCACCCTCGATTGTTACGGGCTCCTCCCTAGGTTGATTCCCCATACAAACTTTCATCCCCTTTTCAGTGATAAAAAGTATCCTATGCCCTTCCCAGGATCTCAAACTATCTTCTTACCAAATTTCATCTAAATCGGTTCAGTAAATCCAGACATTACCCCCTACAACATTACAAACTCACACACTCACAATTCACAAACTCACAAACTTTACTTCCTCTTTATAATATTAGTATAGATTATCCATCTGGACGCCGAATTTAGACTTTCTAGGTCTTCTGAAAGTGGGTTAGGTTTTTGATCTATAATGTCAGTCAGTCGGTGATAAAAAATTCGATTTTTAGACGTTAATATCTCAACAATCGTTTGAACTATATTTTTGAAATTTATAATTCTAGTTAATCTAAGGGGATTCCATAAAATAACCAAATTTCATGTTTTTATGGTTAATAGATTTTAAGTTATTAAGGAATCACTAGTGGCTCCAAATGGTTTGTGTAATGTAACATACGACTGTTGCATGGCGTCGCCAGTTCTTTTGGCTTGTGAACTTGGCTTGACATGCTACCGCTTGTCTTGATCGGTTGTAACAGTAAAACGCGTCATTTCAGAACCGAGAATAGAGAGTGAAGAAGATGAACCTTTCAAAGAAGATAAAAGAGATGAAGACTCTCTAGCAGAGCTACTGTATGTGGACGAGCAGTTCGCGCCATTATTGGTTTTGGTAAGTAGTTAATAGTCTCATTGAATTATAATATGATTTAAATGTTGTAGTTATTATGTTTAAACAGCAACATGATGAAGTTAGCTGCATTCCTTTTACAAACAGAGAGTTGTGATGAAATACGAGATGAAATCTTTAACTGTTTTTGTTCAGTTACGCCAAAGAAGTATATCTTCTTACGTCCGTATAAAAGTGAACACACACGTTTTTTTTTGTAGAAGTATTGTAATCAAAATCGAAGCAGTTCTCCGGAATTTAACCGGTTATAGAACGTAACCGAAACTTTAAACCGAAATAATCAAAACTAATTCAATATATAATTGACCGCTTTTCAAAGTCCTGGTTAAAATCAAAACATTTTATTTAAATAAATTTAATATTAATGATATTTTCAGTTGGAACAGTTCAGTCCTGGTGAAGATGGTATACAGTTTAATAGGAAACTAAGGCATTTTGAAACTACAGTAACTAATATGTGTCCCGATGAAGCAAGATTGCAGTAAGTACACTTATATACTATGGTCTAAACTCAGAATTATATAGACAGAGTCCCCCAAAATAAATGTCAAAGCCAAAAATAGTAGCATTCTAGATTTTTCCATACAGATCATTTACTTTCTTTAAAGAATAAATGAAATTTTATATATACTTAACACTTACTTACGTTTTTTCCCGCAGTAAAAGATATCCTATATTATGTTGACCTGGATAACCAAGATATCATCATATCAAATTTCATCAAAATCCCTAAAGTGTCTTTTCCGCGATGCGGTCACAGACAGACAGACAAAAATTCTAAAAACTATAGATTCGGCTTCTGTATCGATAATGATGTCTATTTCAATATGATTTTCCAAAAAATATTTAATGTACAGATTCGGCTCAATTAGTTTTATTATACGAGTATGTATAGAAAACAACTTTCATGTTTGATCATATAAAACACTTCTACAGGTCTTGGTCACTTGACCAAGTTTCTTTTAAAATACTACCATTACTTTCCATATTCATCTATACATACTAATATTATAAAGAGGTAAAGTTTGTGAGTTTGTGACGTTGTAGGGGGTAATTTCTGGATCTATGGAACTGATTTAAATGAAATTTGGTAAGAAGATAGTCTGAGACCCTGGGAAGGACATAGGAGACTTTTTATCCCGGAAATCACCCCTAAAGCGAGTGAAAATGGGGGTGAAAGTTTGTATTGATAAGCAAGCTAGAGACGAACCCGAGCGAAGCGAGGGTGACTCGCTAGTTTATGATATTTCCCTTCCAGACAAGCGTTTTCAACATTCCGTGCGGCGGCGCTGCAGAGCTCGGTGACGTCACGCAAGCTGTCCGCTGTTGGAGCTTCCTTCACGCGCCAGCAAAGGCAGCAGTTGTTGAGAGCTGCTCTTCTCAATGTGGTCATGCAGGGAACCTTCACCAGTGAGTGTCCGGACACTGTTAGATCCTGGACTATCATAGGTAGTCTTGGGTTCGAGGATCAGGTCGAGCTGATGATATTTATGTGGATGGACTGTTAAGACATTTTCGGTAACAGTCCATTCCTCCAGTGGTTGGTGTGATATCCAACAAGTAGTGAGTGTAGTGATACTAGTTATATGCTGCCTCGGTGGTATAGTGGGTGGTATGTCTCATATGGTGTGGGGCCATGGATTCGACGACTAGGGCAGAGTGAAGATAGTTATTAGGGTTTTGGTTAAAACATTCCTAGTTGGAGTTTGGAATTGAGAAATTAGTGGTGAAGTGAAAAGTGAAGTATTTTACATCCCCAATGACAAGCAAGTTATAAAGCGCATAAAGTTGTCGGTTATTGTGACACGATCTTCGTCAAAATATGTTCCACAATTTTCACATGAGAGATGTACACATATGCCTCCTTGTCTCTCTTTCTGGATGGTTTTTTTTGTGATTTTTTAATATTTTAATGAAATAATTTCTTTTTCAGAATTGGACATCTTGGAGCGGTCTAATCCTATATATTTGATAAATGCAGCTAATTTAATGGGCGATTATTTTGCGGGTAAGTGAAATAATGTGTTCTTATTAACAAATGTATCTATATACAATATACATATATGTAGTAGTAGTATTCACCCCTTTATAACGTCCCACTGCTGGGGGTGGACCTTCATTTAATATGAGGAGGATCAAGCCATAGTTCACCACGCTGGCCAAGTGTGGGGCCACACAAGTCTTTCGACAACTTGCTAGGTTCACTCGGACATGCAGGTATCCGCACGATGTTTTCCTTCAACGTAAGACAACTGGTAATCATGTTGGAAATGATTCGCACATGAAAATATCAGAGTAGCGGGACCCGGAGCCGGTTCAAAAGCTGCTTCACTCGGTTTACCAAGCGAGCGCATTACCATTGGGCTACTACTGTCACATAGTTTAGTGATATGATATTATTATATACTAGCGACTCATCCTCGCATCGCTAAAGTTCGTCCCTAGGTAGCTAGGTTCCCCATACAAACTTCATCCCCACTTTCACCCCCTTAAGTGGTGATTTCCGGGATAAAAACTATCCTATGTACTTTCCAGGGTCTCAAACGATCTTCTTATCAAATTTCATCTAAATCGGTTCTGTGGTTTCGAAATCTATTCGGAACAAACAAACAAAATCTTTCAAAATCTTTCCTCTTTATAATATTAGTATAGATAACATATAATATTAATTTTATAATTCCAGAGGCGCGTCTCTGCAACGGCAACAAAGTGCACATTCTAGCGAACCCCTTACTGCAGTATATGAGGGCTCTACTGACGAGTGACGACCTGAGAGCGCACCGTAGTCTTGCCACACAGGTAATTATTGTGTGCATGCGTGTGTGTGTGTTAATAGGGCGCTCTCTTTAAATTACCCAATCAAAATTAACAGAATAAAGCAACACAGTAAAGAGTAGCTATTCCGCATAAGATTCAATTTATTTAAACCAACGCATAGCTCGTACGGCGCTGGAGAGTTTTGGGGTTGAAATTTGGTACACAGATAGTTATTGCGTACGTAGGCGTCCTTTAACAACGAATGTTTCAAGTTTTAACCCTTAAACGGGGGTTAAATTTGGATAGAGAAATCATATAATAGAAATGAATCAATACGCAGGACTTCGGTGTTTCGTGATTTTGAAAAATCAACTCCTTCAAATGGTGAAAAGATGTAAATAGTCTAAAAATTAAACTTGCTCCGAGCGAAGCCATACACCTAGTTTGCTTCCCAATACAAACTTTCATCTCCATTTTCACCTTAAGGGATAATTTCCGGAATAAAAACTATCCTATGTCCTTCCCAGGGTCTCAAACTATCTTCTTACCAAATTTCATCTAAATCGGTTCTGTAGATCCAGAGATCACCCCCTACAAGTCACAAACTCACAAACTTTACCTCTTTATAATAATGGTATAGATATGTTTCCTACAATATTAAGGCAATGAAATATGTACATACATACATCTTGAGTGATATTGTTCTACATAAGTTACTTTAATTCACAATACAAATATAAAACTAAAGTTTTATCATCCACAGCTTATGCAAAATGGCCGTGAACTCCTCTCAGTGCTTGCTCAAGAGTTGGATGATCTGTCAATATCTATCAGACTGCGTCTCCTAACACCACCCCCTGTTAGCATCATATGGTTATTACTTTCTGCAGATTTGTGCTTAAACAAATTTTTGCCTTTACCGAACACCCTACAACAGTTCTACGCTGCCCATCTAGACCTGACAACGGATGAGAATTTCAGCGAAGTCACATATGGGTCGTGGAAGAAGAAGGATGACTTCAAAGAAGACTCGGAGAAAGTTAGCCAAAATTTATCCCAGATTAGTCTAAATCAGGATGATGATGCTAAACCTAAGCTTAGACCCATTTTAGGGGCTGGTGCCGGGTTGTTGAGACAGGAGCAAGGTCTTTTGTGTCAAATGTCGCAAGAGACCTTCGATACTTGGACAACTAAGAGTAATTTAACCAAGAGATATGATCTGAACTCTTGGAGGCAGCCGGAAGAGAAGAAGGAGGAGGCAGAACCAGTCTTCAATCCAACAGTCTTGCCACCCAACATCCAGAACTTTCCACCACCAAATTATAATTATCAAGAACCATATGTGAACTATTTACAGCAAGGCGACGGTGCATATATACAAAGTTTCCAAACACCAAACTATAGTGTACCTGAATTCATACCACAGTACACAGAAAGACCCAATGTTCCAGAACGAGTCAACAATGAAGTGCAAAAGACATCTAGCACTCGCAAACCAGTTGAAAATTGGCGGAAAGAAAAGAGTGATCTCAAAGAAGATGCGAATAAAAATAAGAAGAATTGGACCCGACAGCGTTCTAGGGATAACGTTAATGAAGAGGATAAAGAGAGGGATGTGCGGTCAGTATCCCGGAGTTCCCGGGAGTCCCGGCAGTCGAATCCTGGTAGGGCGAATAGACGGAACAGTGGTGAAGAGTCGAAGACACCTCCAAGAAGACATGTGTCTGATGTACCAAGAAACCAAAAGTATTGGGATCATGACGATAGATGTGACAAAGACTATAACAGTTAGTGCTACGGTGTGAACTACAAAGTGCGTTTTGGACTTTTTTAGTGTAAAAATTTCAAAGTTTGAGGTAAGTATTCTATTGGTTTTGTAAAAATTTGGAAAGATCTCAAATATTCAATGTTAGACGGATATTTCGATTTGTATGAAAATTTGTATGTATATGTGGTTTTTTGTATGGATAATATGCACAAATGTAGGTAATTTATATCTTTATCATAATATGATGAGATTAAAATCTGAAACAGAACGAACTGACACGGACAAATATAATAAATACACACTGAAAATGAGATTAGCTATGTTGGCCAAATGTATAGGAAGAATTTTTAAAAAATAAGATGGCAATGGTACTGATGTTGCCATATTTACCATATATTAAAAATTTCCCTAAACTATGGCGAGGTACATGCATTAAATATGTAAATCATATTAATGTTATTTTTTATCCAAAAGGAAACATTCAACTATTTATTACATAATATAAAAAAATACTTTTTTAGTCATAAGTTTTTACAAAATTAGATTTCCAATAAAATGCTTACCATAATATTTTTGTTCATGTATAAAATGATTTTATTCGAAGTATATATAGAAGGCCCCAATATAATTTTAGATTATCTGAAGGAAATTTATTTATATTATAATAGCTGCATTATGTTTCTAATAAAATTAAATACGACAAACAAATAAAGTCATAAATTGAACCTTAAGTCACTTTTATGATATCTTACAAAGGAAGGCATAGACTCTGAAAGACGAATTGTTTCTTTAACGCTAGTAAGAAAAATTGGTGTCAAATGAGTGCCTTTGAAATTTAAAATCAGCATAATATGTTACACTTAAAACATAGGCCTTTAGGAAAAAAAAGTTATCCTATATTGGCAACATTTTTTTTCACTATTTTTTGCTCAATTTAAAAATACTCCTGTGACATGACAGATTAAATACAATTGATTTACTTGAATTTATAACATTTATATTCACTCTATATTATGGATATCTCTATTGGATGTTTTAATAACTATAGAAGCTTAAACTACTTCTACTTAACAGCTCTAATTATTTTATCATCACAAAACACATACAAATTTTAGTAACTTTGTTAGTTCTGTGAATTGTTGGTGGAAAATCTATCCACCACCAATAACTTTCTACATGAAAACTCAAAAAAAGGTATTGTACCATTGGCACAAACAAAATAACATTAAAAATGGAATTGACAATGGATATGTCAAACATGGCCAAAGAACTGCCAAATAGTTCTAAAGGAGATAGAGGTCAGTGGTCTAATTGATATTTATGCTTATTTTCCTAAAACATTAAATAGAATTTTAACAAAAAGTATTTCCTTCATTTGCCTCGGTGAAAAATATCTTTCTTTGCATAAGAAGTTATATTATGATTATAATGTTGCAAGTTTAAAATGTATCCTTTACGTTAGTCTAATATGTAGTCTATATGTATGCCAAATTTTATCAAAATCAGTTCAATTATTTTCCTGTGATCGAGTAACAAACATCCAAACATTTTGACAAACTTTGACATTTACAATGTGGGCTGTTACATATTTGTTTTGCCTATATAGTGAATTCTAATATTGAAAAATAAAATATTCTCATATAAAACTTATAAGTATTAATATCAATTAGACAACTAACTATTCAAAAATATAAAACTCATGTAATATGGCAAGATATAATGATAATGACTACAAAATCAAGGAAAAGCTACATAGATAGCTTCATTTGTCTGTATGTATAGACTGATATATGAAACAAACCGCTGGCGGTTTCTGATTCAAAGTTATGCATAATTAGATAAACAAAGTATCTTAGAGGCAATCACTATATATTATATTTAAATTCATTTGTCTGTACATCTCAAATGCAGTTTCATACTTTTTCAGGATACAATTATATCTAGTTATTGTTGAACTAAGATACTTTTCTATGGTAAATTAATTATAATATCTTATAAGATACTTTTATTAAGCAGCATGGTGGATTGTAATAGTTAAGCGGCGGTCAATATAAAAGTAGCACTTTGCATCTAATTTACTTTTAATAATAGATACTTTTTTTTTGTTACATATAAGAATGTGTCATATAGCATACCCCTTATAAATTTTTAAAATTCCTCAAAATTTTTATAGATATTGATTGATAAAAATGTTTACATAAAATAAATCTTTAATAAAGTTAATTTAAATCTATATTTTTTCAATTTCACACCAAATTAGCCGAATAGCTGTTTTTGTATTGATGGCTCATTTGCTTATCATTAAGAAATGGTGCGTAAATAAATTAATTTGTATATACGTGTAGAAAGTAAGAAGATTTTGCATTTTTTTTGTCTGTTCGTAAGAAATGTTTCTCTTCATATTATGAAGTATGGATTATTTAGTAAAAGTAATGTTAAAAGAAAATTTGTATCATACATTATACCAGTTCCAATGTCATTTCGAAAGGAAAACTATATTCATACTGTCTAGTATGGCAGAATTTGTAATGTATTGTTTCACATTACATCACTTTAGTGCTTATTTGTTCAAACCACCAATACTTGTTGTACTTTACAGAGATCTTTTCCTCTATTTTAAAAACAATGCTTAATTTCTAGTATATATAAATAAAATATATTATTATTATTATTCTACATAAATAAAATACATATTTTTAGCTGATTAAAAGTAATATATCGTACTACATTAGAAATGAGATTAAAAAGTCAAGTCAAGTCAATATTTAATAACTTTGGCCATCAAGCACTGAGTTGATCACTAGTTAGTATGAATATTGTTGACACTTCTAAAAGAAAAGAAGTCGCATACTATCTAGCATGGAAGACATTAAATATATAAAATTTCCATAAGCAAAAGCTGAAGCAAAAATTGTTAACATTATTTTAAATATGGTTATCTTTTTCATTACGATAGAATTCATTTTTCTTTTGAAATGCCCATTAATTTTTTTAATTTCCATACTTTATTCTATGAAATTGAAATATTTATGATGACATTTTAATGAAATTTATGGCTGATTTGACTATCTGGTATTAGTTTTTCATTGAGTAAATTATAACCCTACTGATTCAAAATGTAAAACAATTGTATTAGTTTAATTATATGATTGTGATTTTTAATTTGTTTATGGTTATATCTTATTCTATAAGTAACATTTTTCTATGGGTTAATAAATCAGCCTCCGATTCATTAAAGAATGTTTAGCTCAAATTATTTTCATACAAAATATATTGTTTTCATTTTATGGGTATAAATAGCCTATAATTTTAAAATAATGTGCAATTATTAAAATTTTTACCATTTCAAAAAAGCAATTTTGTAATATATATTTCAAGCATAATATTAACTTAACTGTATGTAGTACTCGTGCACATGAAGAATGGGATTTAAAATGGCGGTTCTATGATCCTGCACCATCAGCATAATATAGTTTAGGAAAAAATATTTTATTTTTGTACTAACTTTATGAAAGATTACTAATCTACAAACAGTAGGATTAGATTGTTTTAAGATTAAATACAATAGTAATGCATAGAAAGATAACAGACAGAGAAACTTTTTTACATTGATAATATTACTATTTATGTTTTATAAGACCTTCGTGAACATAATTTTTTTAAGATGTAATAATAATTTTTATTCGATCTCAACTTTTATCAACTTTTTTTTTGCTATTTATACTGGCGAGAGTGAATAAAAACGGCGAAAGTGTGGAAGCGAGAACGGAATAGAAGCGACGCCATTTTTATTACCATTCTTTATTGCCAGCTAGAGTTTCTTAAAATTTAACTTTTTATTATGTGCAAAATCTTCCTAATCGTAATTAAAAATTGTAAGTGTTAGCCTAATAAATAGATAATATAAGTAATTGCTAAAAATAGCTGTTATAATTAAAAAGGAAAGATTACATCAATTTGTTTTTACTTTGGAAGTAATCAACAAAAAGAACCAAATTTGTGAACTAATGGAGAAATTTCATAACTCTTTTTTATGATTAAAAGTTAAAATTTAAGTCAAACAATAAATAATATTAAATAATTTAAGTCAAACATTAAATAATACATGTCGTATTCGTATATATCAAAAACATTTAGAAATTGTTCAGCTCTATGTGACGTCATCGCACTCGAATCCTCTAAAATATCAATTTGTGCTTAATTACCATTTTGTCTTTTCACAAAGACTTATACATTTTAATAAAAATTGAAATTATTGCTCGCAATATGTGTATAACAAATGCTTTCATATTTGTATATTAAAAAAAAACACGTAGAACACAGGGTTATACGTATCTTTATTTCTTATTCAATTACGTCACATAAAACCTTTGTATTTCTTTTTATTCTATCTTCAAAAACCACCCGTGTTTTAGCCATCTATATTTTAATTTGATATAACTAAAAAATTAAATATTCGACTTGTGAAACTTCTCCTTTAAAAATGAGTTCTCCGTTTGATTTTGTAATGCTCACAGTTTTTTTATGATTTTTTAGAGTAAACGGCTGAATTCAAATTGAACATGTACCTGTATAGAAAATATGCACAACTGTATAACTTTCAGACAAGTAGAGTTTTCGCTAGGTGACAGTGGTTTGGTTATTTTGTCAGATTTTTTTCGCTTCAAATATAAAGCCTAGGTATTTAATTAAAATATACAATTAAATTCAATCACAGCAATCTGTAATCACCTATAAAATAACAATAGAAAACCTCTTTCTTTCACGTTGGTTAAATTAAATATTAGATATCTAGATTCCGTGACAAACAAATTTATCTCATATATTTATTACGTACATACGTAGTACATAAATAAATATGTAGATAAGTAACCAAAGTACTGTTCACAGATGTAAGATAAAGTTTAGATTATTATCGACCGTGCGCCGTACATTTGTGGGTAGAAAGATTATTTCTTATGTGTAAATGTGTGTTGCTTAACTTCATTAAAAAGTAAATAAATGCTTATATAGATATGAGC